GGGGAGTGGGAGAGGGAGAAGCAGGCTTCCCACCCAGCAGGGAGCCCGATGTGGGGCTCGATCCCAGGACCCTGGGATCATGACCTGAGCCGAAGACAGACGCTTAATGACTGAGCCACCCGGGCGCCCCGGGTGTATGTAATCCTATTAAAGACCTACAATTTTTTTCTCTGGGATGCTTTAATGTACCAAAACTTTAATGGTGAGGTTAAGGGTTGAGAAGTTGAGCAACTTTATTTCTGTATTGATGGAAAATTTCCCATGGCAATTGATTGTCGTATATAAAAAAAAAAACAACAAAAATAAACAAAAAACGTTGCTGGCTGTTACTGGTTTTGGGAAAGATCTATTTACTAGTTTTCTATTGATGTGTAATAAATGGTTCCAAAACTTAGCGTCTGTCAACAAAAGTCAACATTCCTGTGGATCAGGATTGGCCGTGGCTGTGCAGGCTGGTTCTGGTCTCCTAAGGTTGTAGACAAGATGTTGGCTAAGGTTAGCGCTCCCCTGAAGGCTTGATGGATGGAGCCTGGAGTATCCGCTTCCAAGATGACTCGCTAGCAATTAGTGCTGGCTTTTGGGAGGCTTTAGTTCCTTACCTTGTGGACCTCTCTAGAGGCTGAGTGTCCTCATCACAAGACAGCTGATTTCCCCAAATGAGAGATCCAAGAGAGCTTAGCAAGGCAGAGTGCCTCAAGGTCCTTTATTACCTTGAAGTAGCATCAGAAATTACATCTGTCATTTCTGTAATACCCTGTTGGTTGTACAGGTCACCTCTGATCAAAGTAGGAGGGGACAGCACAAGGACATGAATGCAATGCCAAGAGGTGAGGACCATTGGGAACCATCTTGGAAGTTGGCTACATAGCCTGCCTTCAGGCTCCCAGTGATTCATGTTCCTTCCACATGGAGAATACCTTCCTCACCTTCTCCTAAGGCCATATCCCATTACAGTGTCAGCCAGAAGTCAAGAGCCTCATCATGTAAATTAGGTACAAACATAGTAGTTCCTGCATTTCTTTTATTTTTATTTTTTTATCTTTTTAAGATTTTATTTACTTATTTGACAGAGAGAGAGACAGCGAGAGAGAGAACACAAGCAGGGGAGTGGGAGAGGGAGAAGCAGGCTTCCCGCGGAGCAGGGAGCCCGATGCGGACCTTGATCCCAGGATCCTGGGATCATGACCTAAGCCGAAGGCGGATGCTTAATGACTGAGCCCCCCAGGTGCCCCAGAAGCCTTATCTTGACCAAAATGTTTTCTGTGTTACCACCTTAGGTCTTTTGGAGGTCCAAGCAAAGGAAAGTTTTACAGCTACATCCTCTGCTTCCTCTTCATACTTTGCTTTTTGTTACAGCTTCCTGCGTTTGATCTTTGCCAAGGAGCCATCTCTTAATTTTAGCATCTCTTGTTGCCTAAAGAAGCTGGGAATTTCTAAACCCAACAATTCTGGCTTTTTTTTTTTTTTTTAAGATTTTTTATTTATTAGAGAGAGAGAGAGAGAGAGAGAGCGCACAAGTTGGGGGGAGGGGCAGAGGGAGAAGCAGACTCCCCGCTGAGCAGGGGAGGGAGCATGAGAGGGAGGAGAAGCGAGGGAGAGAGAAAAGCAGACTCCCCACTGAATGCAAAACTGGAAGTGGGGCTCAATCCCAGGATCCTGGGATCATGACCTGAGCTAAAGACAGACGCTTAATCGACTGAGCCGCCTAGGCGTCCCCCTGGCTTTTTTTGTTTGTTTGCTTGAAAGTTCTTCCTTTATTTCTCTTTTCTTGCATTTTATTGTAAGCACCAGGAAGCCGGGTGGTTCCTTTGACGCGACTAACGGGTTATTGTATCCCAGTGGGTGCAGAGATTGGCCTTATTCAGCTTGGGGGTGCTATAAGGAGGGGAAAATATGGGCGCCTGGGTGGCTCAGTTGGTTAAGCGACTGCCTTCGGCTCAGGTCATGATCCCGGAGTCCTGGGATCGAGTCCCACATTGGGCTCCCGGCTCAGCGGGGAGCTTGCTTCTCCCTCTGACCCTATCCCCTCTCATGCTGTTTCTCTCTC